TAAAGGAGACCTCTCGGACCGTTCGGATTCCCTAGACCATATTTAGCCTAAGGTCAGCCGAGTGATTCCGGCCGGTGTAGTGGAACTCTTGTAGGTCTAGGGCGGATATCGATCTGGGACTCGATCACTCGGCACTATATCTACATCAAGATAGACCGGTATCAAACGATCCTGATTCCTGGAAAGGTCCATATACTGGGGAAGCACCTCCAGGTGCTTCTTGTCAGCACTCTTGACCAATTCGTTTAAGATTGTCAATTATTAGAATCTCGATGTGGTGACTATTGGGTAGTCTACCGCTACTTATCAGAAGGTCGCAAGTAAAGTTCATACGATAGTTTTTAACTCCTCCGACCTTTCGTTGCTTTCCTTTGGCCTGAATTAGTCAGCTAAGAACCCCCTCGCCCCGTTGCTTATGTCCTTCCACAGACCTTACCAAGTGATCCTAGTGATCCTATGAGGTGACTTGTACCCATGTCGTTAGTATCGATTATTTTAATCAGTTGAAATCGTCCTAGAATACTGTAGCATCTACAAAACAAAGCCTTATCCCTGAACCCCCTGGAGTAACTTGAACATGAAGTGTTTCAAAGATAGTTTAAAAAGTCGTTTCTGGGTAGCTGTTCTCGTTATTAGGAAGTTTTTGAAGAATTTGCGGAAAGCCCGGAAGCCCTAGAGGAAACCCTATTCCCACATACGTCAAATGCTCCCTTCGATGGTTATTTTCGCTCGACTGACGAGAAAACGTAGTGCTAGGATAGTTCATTGGCTTGCCCTTTCTGATCTTATGGCAATGGTCTGTTTATGATTGATAGCTCAGTGCCATAAGATTAAAAAGGACGGGTCAACTAGTCAGTTCATCAGTCATCAGCATAATCCGAATCGAATGGAGTGTGTACTACTCCGAAACAGCTACTACGAAGGTCAAAGTTCTTTTGGTCAGACCATGGAAAGGTCAAAATCGGCTCATCGTTTCCAGAACTTGATTTACAATTGTGACCGTTCGATGTACTTCAGTGACGTTTTCAAACAATGTCTGCCATCAGTTTCGGGAATGCGCCATGCCTTTCTTTTCATGTAGAATTGCAGAAACAATAGGATGGACTTAGGTCCAAGAAATCGTGGCCAGATCATTGCCGCCCTAAGCCGAGACGATCCGTCGTCAAAAATTCGGAACTGGTGGTCTGAAAGCGGGGATCCTGACACTTTTCCTGGATGGCAACCTTCGTTCTCCTCGACACGTTCAAAATGGCGATTAAATATGAAGCTTTATTGGCATGAATATGTAAAGTTTAAGAGCTCAAGAAAAAATATGGCTAGAAAGTGTGCAAAGTATAAAAGGGCACAATACTATGCCCATAGAGGAACCGTAATGAGAAGCATTTACAATTAAGGACTTTGAAGATTGGAATTAGTAGTTGACAAAGGGTGTCTAGGAAGGTGTAATAGAGTCACACGAAAGGAGTCCTTTAAGTTTCTTCTAATTGGCACAAATTTTCACCTCGACCAGTGGGCAACTAATTTTTACCCATTTGGTAGAGGCCTGGTCTAGGGATATATTCGAAAGTATATCTAATGAGATCTGGGTAAAAATAAAACTCGTAGGAATATCTTAAAAGAATTCTGAAGGCGATGAGCATTTAGTAAGTCATGCATTGTACGTCAAAAAAAAAAGACAGATCTACAAAAAAACCTTCTAACCGATTGATATAACCGTTCGTCGTTTTCTACATGAAGACTAGGCATTGGCGTTGAGCCGTAACGCAACCGCACTCAGTACATTACCGTTTTGCGGAGCATCATCTGGGCTTGGAAACGAAGTAAAATGCTACCCGTAAAAGGTGTTGTGAGAGTTAGAGGAGAGGAAATTTCAGACAATCTGCGTCTTAAAAGCAGAAACAGTCGTCGTCGTCGTTGGCTCCGATGAAGGAGTAGGTGGGTTGGAATTTGATTCGAGAGCAACTACATCAAGTACAACTGGTTTATGAAGTCGCTCAAGTGCCTGTGCATATGTTGGAGGAGGTGCATCGTCAGCGATAACCTGAAGAAGTCAAGAATCTCGGATGCTTTGTGGGACTTTCTGGAGACCAAAGATTTACCTGATTGTAACTTGGGGGCGGTTTACTGTATGCACGTAGTTTCATTTCTTTCATTACACCAAATGTAGCACTGAACATCGCATGTATTTCCCAGATGAATAGGCACACAGAAATTAGCAGCCAAAGGAAGTGAAAGACTGAGGCCGAGTCGTTTGATTCAGCTTCTTGTAGGCCGTGGAACAATGCCGCTGATGATAATGAGACCTAAAAATCGAACGGAATTTTTGCTGGACTCCATCAGATCTACGGAAATGTACATTTCATTGGGCATGGAGCATTCTGGGGAACAGGAATATTGGCTTCCCTTCTTCATTCTTTGGCCAAACATTGCTCCCAAAAACCTTTCCTTCCCAATGACCAGAGCATCGTAGGGTACTAAAGCGCCAAAGCATGGATGGGCGTATTTTTTGTATTCGGGGTTTTACTCGAATCGTGGAGACAAAAAGAAAAAAGAAAAGATTTCAACCTAATTTCCGAGGCTACGACGTATGTACTCAAATAAGTTTAAGTCGTAAAACGGAATTATATGTCCGTAACGTCTTGCGACCATTGCATTTTACAATATTTCTCCGTAAGGTCATTTATGAATCGTGTTCCTGCCCTGATTTTTTGCCCGTGTTTCGTGAAGGGGATGTCAAAAAGAAGGACCATCAATCAAATGGCAACGACTTCGTGAACGTTGGCTTGGTAGAGATAAAAGGTCAAAGGAATGGAAATAGAACTACGGAGGCGGTGCATGTTTTTGTGGATTTGCAATGATTTTCGTTTTTTTTTCAAAATAATATGGTCTCCCAGGGGTTTAAATGCTTACTACACAGACCTTGAGAACCTCTAGAATATCCTTGACTGTACCAATGTACCGTCAAGTATATTCTCGGAAACGAGCTGAGACCATCGAATATTTCCTATTCATCGGAAATTGTGCGGCAATCAAATAAGTATTAAACAAAGCCATAAAGTAATGATTTCAGAGGAACGTAGTAGATAAATAATTGTTCCCATTGGTGAGAATAAAAGTAACTGTTCATTATTTAGAACATGCCGTGCACGCGAACCCAATTCAAAATGGCAAAAGTGGCAGAAAACGATCTAGGGAAAACAGATTTTTGTGGTCAACAGCGATTTTCTCGCCCCTTAAGAAGTTAAGGAAGTACACTGGTCAATCGACCCAGGTCATTTTTCGTCCTTTTCCAGTTTCATTTTTCCATATAATTATAATATAACTACACTTTTTCATATAATTGTAATTTTTGAAATAAGATCGAAGTTAAATGTCAATACTCACTTTTGCGATTACATTCGGTGTGAGGAAGATCGGTTTGAATGAAAAAATACCATATAAAGCCAAAATTACAATGATCGTATTCAGAATGAATACTGAAAACGATAGAATAGAATCCGGGCCGAATGCTTCCAGTGAAAGAAGGATTGAATTGCCGAAATTCAGCATTATCAATAGACCGATAGCCATTCGACTCTGAAAAAAAAAACCTGATAATACTCTGCATTCGAACGACACTCTTGTCTGGCGGAAATAAGGATCTCAAAATTCAGCAAAAATTCAGCAAAAAACTTATTGAAATGTGAGAGATTGCAAACTATTCTAATGAATGATTCCAGAGCTCAAGGTCATGCGTATTATACGAATTGATTGGGGTCTGGTCGTTAATTCAACGAGGGAATGCCCTTTTATCCAATTAATCATCTGGGGCTCAGGCATTTTAAGTGGAAAGCACTTCTCGTATGTTATCGTAGCCGCTAAACCCATCTACAGCTAGAAAAACTAGATTAATGAATCAATGGACACGCCTTGGGGCTTATACAAGCTCGCTTCGTTTTTTTGTATTAGTAAGGGGCGGAGCTGGCCATTTATACTTTATATGATCACAGGTCGCATCATAGATTCTGAATTTTTATTAGAGACCTTTGTAAGCAGCCCTGCCCTCCTGCGATAAGCCGATTTAATGTTGTTATAATGTTTTCCGGGAAGTGCGTTTTACGACAGTTTTGTACCATGGCCCAAGTGATCTGCAAGGGTTGAGTGATCCCTAATCCTTTTAAAACCAAGTAGATCAGACCTACCATATTCCTTATTTACCTACTTTTCTTCCCATTTGGTACCCATTAGTAGAGCTAGGGCTCTCCATCAGCCCGACTTGGATCAGATCTCACTCCCTAAGTACGTTACGGAGGGCTTCCACACCAAATATGGATTACTTTTACTTGCTTTGAGCTTGACCCATACAAAAACAACTAGCAAATAGTCAATCAAAAAAAGAAAGAAAAAACTAATTAAATTTGCATTCAATTAGTGAATTGACCGCAGTACTCGCGGTAAGCACCAGGCAGACCCATAGGGGAGTAACGACAATTTCATTACCAATCCACTATGAATATGTACTTTTCAGTTCGCACTAGGTCTCCTCAGGTCTGAGTAATGGGTATTAGAAAAGTGCACTTTGCATGTGACATGTTATCGATTATGAAGGTTATTCCAATGATACGTCGTCAGTTCCATGAAAACCCCGAACATTCCAAGATGCTGCCCTTGGAGGTCGACAAAGATCTTTCGTGATAGAGTAAGTACTGTTTTCCTTTCTAAGGAGAACTGCTTCCCTAGAAAGCAAAGTATATAGGTACTCAGAGTGTGGGAAAAATATTCTCTTTACAGAATATGGATTTTATCATAATTTTTTGGCCATGAATGGTTTCAACTTTGAAGTTGCAATTTTCATTTCAGGAACACTTGCATTTTCAAAACTTTTCCACTCATTTCGGAACAGCCTTTGTTACTTCTGACGAAGTGGAAGGAGCTAAAAATACTAAAATTCCAACGCATTGACAAATAATTATTTTAATTTCAGCAATAAAATCTTTCCCCTGACTTTTTCGCTTTGCCCTAATGCTTGTATTTATTTTAGTCCGGGAGAATGTCCCCTACATCCGATAGGTTGTTTATCACTAGCTAGAGCCTGAATACGGAAGTATCGGAGTCAGATATAAGGGGGCATATGGTAATGGATATGGCATATGTTCCTGCTGAAAAATGTCTCAATCAAATCTCACCTGGAACATTTTCTTCTTGGAACGTAGCCAATTCGACATTGTGAACATTGTCGAATAGTCCATTTGGTCTAAATAACGGGTCTTTTGACAAGGAATATGAATAAGTGTTAACGAAGTAAAAACGAAAAAGAGCTCTTCATCTTTGACAAAGGGAACATGAGAATCTGCAAAACAAAAAGAAAATGTGACAGAAAGGGCAAAGAGGACGCCATAAAGCTTCAAACAGCATTGGACTGAGTAAACATAAAGTTCAAAAATGCACTGAATGAAAGAAATTATGGAAAAAAAGTGGTGATTCTGAGAACCCTTTGAAAAAAAGCATAGCTGAGTTTGAAGGAGAAGAAACATCTGAAATTGGACATTTCTTTTTACATCCACAAAAAAAGAGCATCAGATGGAGAAAGTACTAGAGGCTGAAAAAGGCTATTGAGGCGTAGAAAAGGTGGAGCTCGACAATTACCTTCGTATTCGCTTCCACCTGTCACATATGGGCAGGAAATCGATTCTTAAAAACCCGTAAAGAGGCACTATTTTAGAAAAAAAAAACTGAAAAATTGATTTGAGGAGTTGTAAAGTTTTTTGAGAAGAACATCAAGCAGAAATATCGGTTGCGATAAGCTACTCTGACAATGGTCTCGAAGAGAAAGTGTCAAGGAGCACCATAACTATCTGCATGGTCCGTGGAGCGAATGCCTAGTCCTATATTTCGTGCAGGACAGTTTCAGTACCTCTTTCTCGGAAAGAAGAGGGGGAAGGGCCTGAAGATGAGGTTCAAAGATCGATGAGCAAGCTCAATCTAGTAATTAGAAGTTTAGGTACTTAGGCAAAAAACATCAAACTTTAATAGGCAAGGTATTCCAAGCGATTTTTGATCTTCGTCTGCTCGAATAAATACTGCGATGATGACATACAACTCTCAGTTAATGGGTTTTAGTTGTGTGACTTTAAAGCAAGGAAATATTAGAAATGCCAAGCATTCGAACAAACGGTTAGACGGTACAATGGTTGTAAAGATTGCTAAAAAAGTAAGCAAAAATAGCAATTTGGGAAGAGCATAGCAATAGGAGTTGGGAAGGCGACCTGTCACCTTGGTTGCAATTTGCCCTAGTCTCTCCCCTCCTAGACAATTACGTATGCTGAATTCGCTTCGCTATTCAATAGAAAACACGATTCTTAATGAAGAATGTATCGAACAGCAAATTGCTGCTGGATGGCGTTTTCCCCCGAGGGTCGTACTTACAAAGCAGCCGCTCGGGCGTCCAACAGCCTAGCACAGCTCAATAGAGAGCTATGCAGTGCCATGTGGTTTTGTGATGTCATGACGGTTTTTAAGGTTGCACTGGCTAGTAGCCATTCAAAGTACGATCTCCAATCGAATAGTTTTTCATGGGAAGATTTATAATTGCTCAGTTGGTGGTGCAAAATCATATGCAGCTGCTGAAGGATTAAAAGTAGTTGAGGCTAGAGTAATTCCGAATGAATAAGACTAGGCAAAACAGCCTTTTCATACTCTGAGGCAGCTCATTACATCGCTCTTCCTACTGTTCCTTCTTCGGGAGGAAAAGGACCTAATCTAATGAATAGCATTCGAATTGTGGTCCCAGTTATCGCAAAGGAGTCGACCCAGGTACCATTATTTTTGAATTCAACTAGATTATGTAGTTCCTCTCTGAACACAGACAAATTGTCTTCGCTAGCGATTCAATTTCTGGTCAGAAACAGTACTGCATAGTGAAAATGACATGTGTCCTTTTCCGAGAAGTGACGCAAGATGATTTCAAAAAGGAAATGAGGACATGCGAACTCGGCTTATGCGGCCTTGGAGAATAATAAATAAATGTAAAGTACAATGTCTGAATTTCAAACGAGCTCCGACAGCAAATTTTGTACTTTCCTTCATTTATTATTCCCTAGAGGCGTAGGACAAGACGAAAATGTGACGTTGATATGAACTCGAGAGTGTTTGGAACATGAGAAGATCGAAAAATCATCTGGGAATTCAAGGACACGCAAGTATGAGCAATAACGCCAGAGATACGCGGTGAACATGATTGATTGATTGAACTTAGATGTGATTGGATGGTTTCGGGTGTTCTACCGCAACTTGATATGTCTAATTCTTATGCCAAATGATTTCTGTGGTCAACCCAGAGGAAGAGGACGGGCTGTCCGACTCTAACGGAAATGAAGGCATTGAAATAATCCAGGTAGCTGCTTCTCGCCTTTAACTCCCAGTTCTACGAAAGGGAAGATAACTGTGGAAGTGAACCAAGGTGAAGAGCTTGGAGTGCAGGAGCGGTTTACGACCACTTAATTTGCTACTTAGTTTTCAGGTAGCGCATAATTAAGCGATCAAAGCCCACTCCCTCTCCACAATAAATATGAGAAAACATGCGAAAATACGTAATATGCTTATGTAATTGACTTGTAAAAATTAATGACCTTTTTAACTGCTTATTAGAACCAGATAGATTAGCAAAGTAGATGCGCACTCTGAAGATTAAATCAGTGTTGAGAGTCCCGGAAACTAATTTATTTACATTACAAAAAGGCTAAAGAGTAGAATTATGCTGAAGTCTGCTCGTTTACGCTTTTTGTTCATTAATATCGGATATGCAAAGAAATCGATCTTCAGTAGTCAATTGGTTTGCCGACTATGGAAAAGAAACGATCCATCATCGTATCTAACATAACCACTTCCGTTAATTCCACCAAATGACGTCAGCATGGCGCACTCCCAAAACTACCTCAACAGAGCCTCGTCAGACTGGGTATTTTCATGTTTGAAGTACCAATGGAAGCAAGGAAAAGTTCGACTGATGGAAGAAATTGGTGGTCTCTTTGACCATTCATTTTCAAATCGGGTCTTGAACTTGGGTCTTTTTTTTTCGAAATCGATGACGCATTTGGATGATGATTCTCAGAAAGTTCACATAAAATCGATTTTATTACAAATAGTGCCAGTCATGTGGTACTAAGAATGGTAGGTAAAGCAGTAAGTCTATAAACGGCAAGTACAAATCTAAAAAAAGTACCTATGCACTCAATTAGTCAAATGACAAGCTGCTTATCAGAAGAAATCTGGAGGTATGAAGGAAATGCACTCTTGGGAGTTGTAAGATAGGCCTACAAAGAACAACCAATTGCATGAAAAAAGCCTTCCAATAGCACGAGTTCTCAGTCAACTTGCCAACTCCCAATCTCCCGGACGACACAGAGGATAAGCTGTATTAGAGCAAAGCAAATCGTCTTAGAGCGCAATTTGTCAACGAACAAAGCCAACTTCTTAGAGTGGATTATGAAAAACAACTTGAAGGCAGTTTGCTCAGCAAACATTGTTTACATCCAAGAGTTTTACAGCTTTGAGTGAAGAGGAAATACCACTGTAATAGGGGCGGAGTCTAGGTAAAACTATTTGGAAAGCAGTTTTTGCAACACAGGTGGGCTGCCAGGACTCTGAATGGGGTTAACTGTGAATGAGCGAATGAATGAATGAATCTCTAGCTAGACTGGAGCTATACTTTCTGTGAATAGAAGAGGGTACCATAAAGGACGAGATATTGGTGGCATTTCAGCGTGTTTGCCTATCATAAACGGAAAGGCTAGCACTTGGGGTTGTCGGAGGCCTGAATGAACTTAGCTCCTCTTAGGCTCTGACCTCCGATTTATTCCCTTTCATAGTTTCCCCTCAAATCAAGCACGGGAATGGGGAAAGGTCGGGTAAAATCGATCTCTTCCCTTCTGAGGCATCATTCTAGGCAAAAGATGAGGTAAAGGTGAAGTGATGGAAGGTATAAGGTCACTACAGCAGCACCACGGCCCTCAGGTCAAATGGAACTCGCCCACACCAAGCGAGCCCTCTATAACTGCCATTGAGGTTATATATAATCCATAGAGAAGAAGCAACAGGGAAAGTAAGGGCAGTTCTTGCTTATTTACTAGAAATTTATTCAAAGAAACATGGCACTTATCTAGGAATGAATAGCCACTAATGAGGTTCTGCCATAGGAAAACAAGAACTTTTATGAGCAAAGATAAAGAATAAGAAGAATCACATGGCGCTTTAGATAGAGAACAACCACAGTGGTCTCTTGTGCGTGCGAATCCGGAAGTTCCGAAAAAGCCTGTCAGGAAGGACGACATGCCACAGGGTACGTCGTGATGAACACACACCGCCGACGAAAACAGGGTGGACGCACAGCAGTGGAGCGCTGCATGGTCGTGGGAACGAACGATGGGGCTGGCCCAGGGCAGGCGGGGCGAAACTTCTAAGGATGTCTTCTCGCGCCACTCCTATCGCCTGCAACGAGCGATGGTGATGAACGGGATGGGTGCTGTCACAAAACATGCCGAACTTAACTGAAAACGATGAAAAAACTCGATTCTCTAGCGGGTAGAAGCGTACTCCAGTCCGGTTTTGCCGGTTTGAAAAGAACGTTATCTTTGAATGAGGTAGGTCTTATCAAATGGCGACCGGTTGGTTACTGTAAAAAGTGAATGGAGCAATAGAAACCCGAACGGATCACAACAATGTCGTCAGGGTGGCAATTAAATTACAACATAATGTCTAACTACGCCATCATTTATAAATAACGGTTGTCGTTTTTGAAAAACACCGTCTTAGCTGTGAGCAGGGTGGCGTGTTTCAGTTGTCTACGACCAGTACGGAGGGCTGAGGGTGAGACGAAAATATTGTAATCAATAGTTGACCTATTGGTAGAAACTGGTTACTAATATCGACAATATTCCCGAGGTAATCACCGTGAAATTGGTTTTATGGCAGAAATATGTGCAATTTTGGCCACCTGTAGCAGCTATTAGAGGCATTCTTGATAGTGCAAAAACTGCTTGATGGGAATTGCTTGCTCCTACTTCGAGTTGGGCAGCCTAATCTAGGGTCTGACCCGGGATACTTTGGACTTTTCAAAAAATAGTTCAAGGATGGCGTATCTTCCTGCCCTAGCTGGAAAAACTCCTTCTAGAAACTTCTGGAAAATATGTAGCGTATACACCAGAGATAATTTCCAGATTTTGGAACGGGAGTCTATCCAATTGGAAAATCCCTCC